TTCGAATACTTGCAATTCTTTTACTTAAAATAATAACAATTAGATTAATAATAATTAACATAATTTTTACTGAAGATTCATAACAATCATTAATACTATTTTAAAAGAAAATTTGTAAGACATCTAAAAACAGATATACAGACTTTGTGTGATATTTATTTCAACATTATATATTAATAGAATGTTGTAACTATTATTTTTAAATATTAGGTAGTTTCCAGCTACGTATATCGCATATAAACGTTGCAAAAAGATTTTAGACTGAATTAACACATTACACATTTATGGAGTAATTAACAACAAAACAATCTTTATTTTCATTGCAGAACATATATCAGAGCATACTAGTGACTCATACATTTAAAATAGTGTGATTTTTAAACAATTCGGTTGTAAACCCGCAGAACCGCCTACCCGCCAAAGACGTAACATAAGAAATGGTATATAATTCATTATTTTAAATTACATATATAATCATTAATAATTTTCGGCAGCTATCGAGGTTCTCCATAGGTAAATTCCTGTACTCTAACAAGATGCTACTTGCTGTTTAGCTGTTTAAATTCTTGGAAAATTGTAATGACCAGCGACATAAAATATAACAATGAAATAGTAGCTGGTAACTGTAGGTGAACGAAAAATTAAATTCCAAATTGATTAGATGGTTTCCTAAATATAAAGATCGACCTGAAGGAATTTTATGAATTATGGACTAATTAAACCAAAAAATAGGTAATTTTACTTGAAGAACAGATACCAGAGAATAGTTAGTGAGTACATTTATATTGTATAATGGGAGAAAGCCCCTGGTAGCCGCGAATTAAAATAACCACCTACATTAATTGATAACTAGGAAATTGTATCTGGAAACTTTTTCTGAACGAAAACACAATACCAATTTGTTTAGATGTTTTTCTTAATATAAAGATCAACAGTAAAGAATCTTATTCATTATGGACAAATTAACAAAAAAAACGATAATTTTCATTGAGGACCATATATTAGAGCATACTTAGTCACTTATATATTAAAAGTATTGTGTATTTTGAACCATTGGGGTTGTAAACAAACAGAACGGCCTACCCGAAAAGTCGTAACATAAAATGTTGCATATGTTTGCTAATTTATTATTTGATAAATGATTATTATTAATTTACGACAACTATAGAGGTTTCCCATTAGTTAAATTACTGTAGTCTGACTAAATGCTACTACAAAACCTATGTAAATCCTGGGAAAGTCACAATGACCAGCGACATTAAAGCATAGAGGGTTAAATAGTAACAGGCAACTGACGGCGAACGAAAAATTCATTTCCAAATTTATTAGATGTTTTCCTAAATATAAAGATCGATAGGCTGGAATTTTCTGGATTATGGCCTAATTAAGGCAAATATATATATATTTTTACTTGAAGAACAAATATCAGAGCATAGTCAGTGAGTTATAGAATAATAAGAGTGTGGTATTTCATTGTATAACAAGAGATAGTCCAAGGAAGCGATAATAGACGTAGTTTTACACAAAATAACGTCCAAAAACAGCCGTAGAGTCAAACGGCAAATGTTGACGTTCTTTTTAAGAGGACAGGTTGGTAGTTGACCCCATATCCCAAACCTTGAGCTGTAGTTGACCCCATACCCCAACCCATGAGCTGTAATTAACCCCATACCCCAACCCATGAGCTGTAATTGACCCCATACCCCAACCCGTGAGCTAAAGTTGACCCCGTACCCCAACCTGTGAGCTGTAGGTGACCCCATACCCCAACCTGTGAGCTGTAGTTGACCCCATACCCCATCCCATTAGTTTTACCTGACCCAATACCCCAACACGTGAGCTGAAGTGAACTCCATACCCCAACCCGTGAGCTAAAGTTGACCCCATGCCCCAATCTGTGAGCTGTAGTTGACCCCATATCCCAACTCGTGAGGTATAGTTGACCCCATACCCCTACTCATGTGCAGTAGTGGACCCCATACCCCGACCCGTGAGCTCTAGTTGACCCCATACCCGAACCTGTGAGGTGTAGTTGACCCCACACCCTAAATTGTGAGCTAAAGTTGACCCCATACCCCAGTCTGTGAGCTGTAGTTGGCCAATACCCCAACCCGTGAGCTGTAGTTGACCTCATACCCCAACCCGTGAGCTGTAGTTGACCCCATACCCCAACTCGTGAGCTATAGTTGACCCCATACCCCAAGCCATGAGCTGTAGTGGACCCCCCATACCCAAACCCGTGAGCTGTAGTTGATCCCACACCCCAAATTGTGAGCTCTAGTTGACCCAATACCCCAACCCGTAAGCTGTAGTTGACCCCATTCCCCATCCCATGAGTAGTAGTTGACCCCATACACCAACCCGTGAGCTGTAGTTGACCCATACACCAACGCGTGAGCTGTAGTGAACCCCATACCCCAACCCTTGAGCTGTAGTTGACCCCATACCCCAACCCGTGAGCTGAAGTGGACCCCATACCCCAACCCGTGAGCAAAAGTTGACCCCATACCCCAATCCATGAGCTGCAGTTGACCCCTTAACCCAACCCGTGAGCTGTAGTTGACCCCATACCCCAACCCATGAGCTGTAGCTGACCCCATACTCCAACCCGTGAGCTGTAGCTGACCCCATACCCCAACCTGTGAGCTGTAGTTGACCCCATACCCCAGCCCATGAGCTTTAGTTGACCCCATTCCCCAACCCATGAGCTGTAGTTGACCCCATACCCCAACCCGTAAGCTGTAGTTGACCCCATACCCCAACCCATGAGCTGTAGTTGACCCCATTCCCCAACCCATGAGCTGTTGTTGACCCCATACCCCAATCCGTGATCTGTAGTTGACCCCATACCCCAACCTGTGAGCTGTAGTTGACCCCATACCCAAACCAGTGAGCTGTAGTTGACCCCATTCCCCAACCCATGAGCTGCAGTTGACCCCATACCCCAACCCGTGAGCTGTAGTTGACCCCAACCCGTGAGCTGTAGATGACCCCATACCCAAACTAGTGAGCTGTAGTTGACCCCATTCCCCAACCTGTGAGCTGTAGTTGACCCCATACCCCCAACCTATGAGCTGTAGTTGACCCCATACTCCAACCCATGAGCTGTAGTTGACCCCATACCCCAACCCATGAGCTGTAGTTGACCCCATACCCCAACCCGTGATCTGTAGTTGACCCATACCCCATCCTATGAGCTGTAGTTGACTCCATACCCCAACCTGTGAGCAGTAGTTGACCCCATACCCTAAACCGTGAGCTGTAGTTGACCCCATACCCCAACCCGTGAGCTGTAGTTGACCCCATACCCAAACCAGTGAGCTGTAGTTGACCCCATACCCCAGCCTATGAGCTGTAGTTGACCCCATACCCCAACTCATAAGCTGTATTTGACCCTATACCCCAGCCCGTGAGCTATATTTGGCCCCTTACCTCATTCGTTGAGCTGTAGTTGACCCCATACCCGAACCCGTGAGCTGTAGTTGACCCCGTATTCTAACCCGTGAGCTGTAGTTGACCTCATTCCCCATCCTTTGTGCAGTAGTTGACCCAGTACCCATTTTGTGGAGGGTAGAGGACGGCATACCCATCTTGTACTCTCCTAATTGTGCTTGCAGGTGTTGAGCTTTGGCTCTTTAGTCCCGTCTAGAGTACCAGATCCCATATGCACTACCGGATGGGTATGGGGCAGTACCGCACCCTTTAGCAATCCTCTGGGCAGTACTTGATCCTGGCGGCAGTAGCGGACTCCATAACCATCTTCAGGTGGTAGTGGACACCTGGGGGTCCCATCCCGGGGCGGTAGAGGACCCATACCCATTCTGTGGGCAGAAGTGAACTATTCACCCATCTTCCGGGTGGTAGTGTTCCCCCGATACCTATCATGTGGGCAGTATTGTAACCCATACTCCTCTTGAGGGCCTTAGGGGACCCCATACTCATCCTGTGGGCGGTACTGGGCCACATACCCATCATGTGGGTGGGTAGTGGCCCACATATTCATCCTTTGGGCGGTAGTGGACCCCATACCCATGGTTTGGGGAGTGGACCTCATAACCATCCAGTGGATGGAAGTGATCCGCCTTCCATCCAGTGGATGGAAGGCGGTTCACTACCGCCTGTTGGCGGTAGTGAACCCCATGCGCATGCTGTGGGCAGTAATTCACCCCATGCCAATCATGAGGCTGTAATGGACCATCCTATACCCAACCTTCAGGTGGTAGTGGACCCCATACCCATCCAACAGGTGATAGTGGACCCCATACCTATCCTTTTAGGTGGTAGTAGACTCATCGTGAGATTTGTTGTGGACCATAGATCTATCCTGTTTTCAGTAGTGTACCCCCATTTCAACTTAACTTCGGGTTGTTTTGCCCGAAATGCTGTGTACTAGTGGCTTTAGGTATTGTATGTACTAGCTCTATCTATAAATCAATCAGAATGTTTGTAACTCTGCATGTATGTACTTTTCTTAAATAAAATATTATTATTATATTATTATCATTTTCTGTTGACGTTCCTGCAATTCACTCTATTTAGATTTCAAAGCACACACAATTGTATATTAAATTCATTTAGAGCCCAATAATAATACGTAATAATTTTTAATGCTTATTATAATTTATTTAAAACTACCAAGATTTCTCAAAACAAAACTACGAGCCTTCAATTGGATGTAGCGTATCCATGATACTCGAATAACATGGACAATAGTACGTAAATTTTACATCAGAAGTTTTACTGGAAAAATACAAGCATCCATTAAAATTTGAGCAAACGGACCCTTATGCTCTTTACAGTAATGTGACGGGTACTATGAGACTATGGTACTTGAGGAAGGGTTGGTGACTAGTGATAGGAAATAGCTGGAAATCTACCACAGATAAACTATGAACATTACCATATAAGCCTTTGGCCACATAGGTACTCTGTTATAGCCAGAGCGGGTTGCAGTACCGCAGAGGGAGCACAGAGTACACACAGACCGGTAGTGTGTGATAAATATCACCAGTAACATAGCAGATACCAGAGAGTTGTCTCATTAGTGTGGAAGATAATCTAGAAAGGAACCCATATTTTTGTCACTGGTGTCGCTTTTTGTCGCTCAACGTTCCGTCCACCTCGTTATAGATAAGCGTAGCGGTGACTTGTGTGCTCTTATCTGGTGTTACCGTTGACGCCAGTGTAGTTGTCAGTAGTGTACTGTTAACAGTTCTCGTGTGTTACCGTTGACGCCAGTGCAGTTGTCAGTAGTGTACTGTTAACAGTTCTCGTGTGTCACCGTTGACGCCAGTGTAGTTGTCAGTAGTGTACTGTTAACAGTTCTCGTGTGTTACCGTTGACGCCAGTGTAGTTGTGAGTAGTGTACTGTTAACAGTTCTCGTGTCACCGTTAACGCCAGTGTAGTTGTCAGTAGTGTACTGTTAACAGTTCTCGTGTTACCGTTGACGCTAGTGTAGTTGTGAGTAGTGTACTGTTAACAGTTCTCGTGTGTCACCGTTGACGCCAGTGTAGTTGTCAGTAGTGTACTGTTAACAGTTCTCGTGTGTGTGAAGTGTCTTGCTTTTGGTTTTACCAGGATGTATTGATATTATCTGTTGTGAACAGTGTTCATGGTGTCCCGGAGGTACTGACCATTGAGTGACCACAAGGCCTTGTCCTGTGTGTGACACTTGGTCACATTCACAGTGTGTCCTGGTGTGATGTGATACGTGATTAAAGACAAACTTTCCTCAACAACTCTCCAGCCTACAGCTTTTGGTCAACCCGCGAGCGTTAAGCTTTTGTTAAAGCAAGCAGCAAAAAGCGCTCGGTTAAAGAGGGAGTTTAGAGCTGGTGGCACTTCAGACATCCTCAGGTTATCATCGTCTACCAAAAAGAGGTTTGTGGTAATCTTAATTTTTGTTATTTCATAAAAGTATTTGTTTTAAAGTTCAACAAAAGATTAATAGTATTTCATTAATCAAGGAATAATAGAATGTAAACAATCGATACCATATCAAGTAGGTGGGAGATCCGCTAGCGTCTAAAATGTTCATTTCTTGGGCCAATCGTTCACCCTTCTAAAACAAACTTTTTTTTTATATTGAGGAAAAACATGTCAAGTTGATGGTGACAGGCACCGAAGTCCTCAAAGTTTAAGTCTCCCCTCGAATGTTAAGATTGTTTTCTTTTGAAAAATATGGAATCACTGAGTGTGGGAATATTTTTTGAAGATCGGGAGACGCAGGAGAGGTTATGCTGTGAGCTCTTATGCTGCTTCTTGTTGGGCAGCTGAGTGTGATGCTGTTTAGAATTTACTTGTGGAAGTTTACAAATAATGTCTGTATTAAGTAATGAGTAAGTCTCATGGGACAAACGTGTCTCTACACTCATCTGAAGACGTCGGCCACAGATACATAGTCTCCACAGTAGTGTCAAGTGTGTTAAATATTGTACACACTAATGGTGTTCTCTGTGAGTGATGTTGAAGATCCACACTACAAACAATTATAATCACATGTATACCTCTACCTAGGCGTTGTAAGAACTACAGCCACTACGCAACCGTTCACGACCACCAGGTTCACCACACCATACATGACCACAAGGTTCACCACACCAGCATACATGACCACAAGGTTCACCACACCACCATACATGACCACAAGGTTCACCACACCAGCATACATGACCACAAGGTTCACCACACCACCATACATGACCACAAGGTTCACCACACCACCATACATGACCACAAGGTTCACCACACCATATATGACCACAAGGTTCACCACGCCACCATACATGACCACAAGGTTCACCACACCACCATACATGACCACAAGGTTCACCACACCATCATACACGACCACAAGGTTCACCACACCACCATACATGACCACAAGGTTCACCACACCAGCATACATGACCACAAGGTTCACCACACCAGCATACATGACCACAAGGTTCACCACACCACCATACATGACCACAAGGTTCACCACACCACCATACATGACCACAAGGTTCACCACACCACCATACATGACCACAAGGTTCACCACACCACCATACATGACCACAAGGTTCACCACACCAGCATACATGACCACAAGGTTCACCACACCACCATACATGACCACAAGGTTCACCACACCACCATACATGACCACAAGGTTCACCACACCAGCATACATGACCACAAGGTTCACCACACCACCATACATGACCACAAGGTTCACCACGCCATACATGACCACAAGGTTCACCACACCACCATACATGACCACAAGGTTCGAATGGTGATTATACTTGATAATGATACTCTTATTATCGCATTATTACACTTGATAATGGTACTCTCATTATCGATCCCGCGATCGATAATGACTTGTGAGAATTACGTTACTCGACTGAGCGGTCGGCTCTCACTCCCGACAGCCTTGTCGCTCACCACAACAATCTATCAAAATTTACATTAACACGTCAGTCACGAACCTACATATATATTAGCACGTCAGTCACGAACCTACATATATATACAACCACACTTGTCACAACCTTGGGGAACACAACATGAGAAATAACCACACTCTGTTATCACTCCACAATAATCAAATGCCAGGAATCCCTGGTGTTACACACGGACACTATTACCTGTGCACTTATGATGACCAGTACTGGATTTCCACACCTGCAAGAGATTACATCACATGGAACATGATAAACATCATGAATGAATTACTATAATTCTACCAGAGTGGAATATAAATATTACTTGGACATCCCTCACAGTACTTGGCTAATCTATGTAAACTTTGTTCCCGTGTGTACTCATTAACACATACACACATGCAGGGACACCTGTCTACACCAGTCTAAATCCGTCTGGACTGACATGAATGTCAATAAGGGTGAAAATCTCACACGTTCCCACTTCACTTCACCCCACCGGGAGCTTGGAGAAAATGGGACGGAACACCTGACCTCGAATTCAGGCTTAAAGATAAAATCACCAAAAACACACACAAGGTATTTACTCTCATTTACATGCCGGCTCACATCCATGTACCCCAGTGTCCCACCCCCGACACAGACCCTCTGCTTTGTAGGTGGTTGGTCAGCAATACCAGGGATAGGCTAAGCTGGTATAGCCTCGTGCGTTGACGGTCGTACACGGATAGCTCAGCGCATTTTTCGTAACCTCTCACACAACACACGGCTCGGATCGTACACCCCCGACCCACCGGTGAAGCGGTGCGTTCGTACACAAATGGCGCGTTCACGTCTAGCTTCAATTTTCACGAATTTCTAGAGTGCATTCAGGGGCTATGCACTTGTGGGCGGAGAATTCAGAGTGCCTGGGGCTATGTACTTGTGGGCGGAGTTAGCTAGTTGGTCTCCAATAAATACCTCGGGTACTGTACACTCGAGAGATAGACCGATAGGAAGAGACAGACAGAAGATAGGAGAACAGCCAGCAGAGCAGAACCGAGAGGCTGTCAGCCGCACGGGGTCGGACAGTCTCTGTCAATTACAGTCCTCCACCCCCGCTCTCTCTATCCAGCTATAGGCAGACACTTGGTGAGTTGAACATGAAAGGTGACGTAGTCGTGTTTACTAGTGTTGTGTGACAATCAGGGGGCAGACGGCTGTAATGGTCTCGAATTCTGGTGTAGTGATTCACTTTGTACATTAATAATGAACCTTCAGTTCGATTGCTGGAATTCTGATATTTATCATGCTAAATAAATAATTGATTTACTTGCTTTTAATTTTACTTTAATTGTGTTCCCGAGTTCTTGGAATTACTGATATATGCAAACTAGAGGGTAGAGTACTCTAGAGTTAGTGAGAAGAGAGAATCTTGCCTGGAACACGATTCCAGTTAAATCATGCTAATTATGACCTTTTGATACATCTTTGAGAATTTTGTGATACCGACAAGTTCTATTCCTTATCTTGTATATAATGGTCTTGAATGGATGGTGGCAGTCTACCTTCTACTTTTACTATCTACTTTTCTACTTCTACCTACCTACCATTCTACCTTCACCACCACATCCTATTCATCTCTGTACCCTCTCTCCCTTTCACCGGACCACACTCCTCCGTCCTCCCTCACTAATTACTTCATTATTCATCTCTTTCCTTTCCTTTCTCTGATTCGTTCGTGGCAGTGAATTGCTCTAGAGTTCTCTTGAGTCGCGGGTAGCTGATCAGGTTACAATGCCTTGTGTTCGTGATACCTAGGTAATCAAATACCTAGGTCACAAGGTATTGAATTAGAGAGGTGCAGTAGGGACTCTGGGGGCACTTTAGAATAGCTAACTGGGGAGTGGGATAATGGACAAGAGAGAGCTATTTCCCCGACTCCCCCATTAGAATAGTTAACTAGGGGTGGGATAATGGACTAAAGAGAGCTGTTCCCCCCACTCCGCGTTACACCACGAGCACACTGACCGCTGGTATGCAAATTACCCACGTTCCAGATCTCTACTCACTACACTCCCCGTCTTTCTCCCCTTCGAACGGCGACGGCCGTATTGTATTCTGCTGCAGACGACGTCATAGTTAAGGCGGAGAGTGGAGCTTGTGGAGTAGTCAGTCGCCACGGCGTCTACTTTACTCAATTTGATCGAATTGAGCAAAGCAAGCGTCAGGACAAGGCGGCGGCTGGATTCAGAATGATGGCGTCTCTTGGCGAGCTGAAGCATCTTCCAGGGTTCTCCTCAAAAGAACCAATCAGAGGGAGGCACACAACGGCCTACCCCTCTCAACCAATCAGAGACGAGCTACTAGGCCTGCAGGGCGACTCTAAGATAGCCGACCCAAGGTGGCGTCCAAGGTGGCTGGCTACCGTTGTCATGGGAACAAGGATGGCGGTGTGGCGGCGGGTGGCTACCCTCATCACCACGCTCTCCTCCTTCCCGCGCAAACCTGTCTCCCTCAAACTCTACACAGTAAAAGTTGTTGCTGGCTCTATCTCTTTCTACAAATGCGTCACAACAGCCATTGTGACATATTGGATTGCTGGCTCAAAATCCAAACACAAGATGATTCGGGTTCTGGTTACAAACTTAGGTCCGTGCACTGGCAAAGTGCACTGGCTGCCACAGGCATATAAAACCAGTGGAAGTTTAGTCTGGTGAAACCATCCCCTCACACTCACTATACCAGACTCACCACCAGCATCATGGTCCTCACCATACCAGGTCCACACCACCAGCATCATGGTCCTCACCATACCAGGTCCACACCACCAGCATCATGGTCCTCACCATACCTGGTCTTCACCACCTGCATCACGGTCCTCACCATACCAGGTCCACACCTGGCTACTCCACCAGCATCATCAGAAGGAAAACAACAGTGAAAGAACAGGTATTGAAACTTAGAACAGGCGAGGACAGGTATACAGAGAATGACAGAGAGGTGTGTGAGGAACTCAACAAGAGGTTCCAGGAGGTCTTCACAATAGAACAGGGTGAGGTCACTGTGCTAGGAGAAAGGGAGGTAAACCAGGCGGCCTTGGAGGAGTTCGAAATTACGAGAGAGGAGGTCAAGAGACACCTGCTGGATCTGGATGTTAGAAAGGCTGTTGGTCCAGATGGGATCTCACCATGGGTACTGAAAGAGTGTGCAGAGGCACTTTGCTTGCCACTCTCCATAGTGTATAGTAAGTCACTAGAGGCGGGAGACCTACCAGAAATATGGAAGACGGCGAATGTGGTCCCAACATACAAAAAGGGCGACAGACAAGAGGCACTGAACTACAGGCCAGTGTCCTTGACTTGTATACCATGCAAGGTGATGGAGAAGATCGTGAGAAAAAACCTGGTAACACATCTGGAGAGAAGGAACTTCGTGACAAATCGCCAACATGGATTCAGGGAGGGT